GCACGATGGCAGACAGAGATGTGACTGGGCGAGGGCTGGCTCTGTGTTTGTGCAGACAATAAGGTTGAACTAACGTGCGAGGACAGTGGAAGGAAAATCCAGACTGATGTCACAGACAGTGAAAAGCAGAGGGAAAATCACAAAGTGGTGGATCATAGTAATATCCACTGATTTGACCAAATAAGGGAAAGCCAGTTCACATTTCAGACCGGTTAACCTCTGGTCGACCTACAGATATATTGTTGGAGGTTTCAGTGGGACATATTGGGCTGAATTGGTTATGGTACAAACAGTTGTATCTACGACAGTGGTTCTCAAACTCTTTACCCACTTTAGACAAATGGGGATTTTCAAGTCCCACATCAATAACATCGAATAACACAAGGTCCCAAAAGAGAAAATAAAAATGCTGTTGTGACATCATCATTTTAAGCTTGTATTTCTTCCCATTTGTCACGGCCCACCACTGGGCCCCGCACCGGTCTACAGAGTGTCATACTTAAGTGCCTGTTTCCTTAACATACACATTTTTTTAATAATCCAAATGCGCTGTTAGATAGTGACTTCAGTTTGTTAACCAATGAAGGCCGGTTATCAAGGACTATACACCAAGGTTTTATCATTTCATGTCTTTGTTTTGATTTTCTCACTTTTCAAATGGCAATGGCAATGAAAGGATCCACACTCTGTTTCTTGTTTGTAGTCTCTGCGCTAGCTGCTGCTGTGGCGACGACTCTTTTCATGTTTAATACTTCAAAAGGGCGACGGCAATCTTTTGAATGTTCAGTCTGCGAGCGGCTGAGCGCAGAATTGGCTTCACCTGCATTATCAGAAACACATTGTTTAGCATCAGTTAGCATCAAGCACGCTGACTTGAAAAACAAAGCTCACCATAAACCACAACCTGATACTTCAACACTAGATTGTACTAAATCATTCAAAGTATGGACAATTGTTATTTATTATATTTGTTCTGCTTAGTCAGCAATTTTAAGAGTTGATTTAACAAGGCGGTGGTGCCAGTGGACCTGGAGGGCTCTGGTGGGCCTACAGTAGGCTGTTAAAATCCTGCCTCGCGTCTACCCTTTAAGAATTAATTAATCCAGGCTGTGTGTGCGCTCACACTTATGTATGGAGTTGTTTTTTCAGCAGCTACTGCAATTGTCCCAATCAAACTAGTGCATGAGTCAAAACCGCCAGTTGGATTTTAAATTGTTTAGGGAACCACACACGTATGCAGTCCAACAGGATATAAAACCAGACCCATGCTATTTGTTATCATAGACAGTGCTGAAATAAAGTTTCTTAGAAAAGAGTGGTTGGGGGGGGGGGTTATTTGAGATTTGCACAAGGGAAACGTCATGGTTTCAACTTCCAGTACATTTTTTGTGAATGGAAGAAAAATATAAATGCTCTGAAAATGTGTTAGAGTTGTACCTTTGACTCAACTTAAGTCCAGTAAAACATTTCTTCTTCAGTTCACAGACAGCCTAGATCAGAGGTCGACCCAACATTCTTCAAGGCAGAAGATTGTGCAGAATTGGACCTCTGACCTTTTGGTTTTAAGGAGAAAGTAAACATTCACTAGAAACAAAAAGATAAGATTTTTAACCCACATTTAGGGTGCATAAAAGTTGAACAATTACTTTGCATTCAGAATTTAAAACCTTTAGCCAAACGTAAAGCAAAGAAACGTCAGTTTTGTTGGGGGTTTGTGGCTCATATGCAGGATGCCAGATATGGGATGGCCCCCATTACTCTTCTTTTGATAGGCCAAGGGACAGTTAGTGTCTACGTTATAAGCAGAATCCAAATTTTTCAGAGAAGTTGATTTATTTAAAATTAAAACTAAATTTAAAAAAGTAATTAACTAAATTTCAAGTATAACTGTTCCAGCCATTTCTTATTAGTAGTAGGAGGTGCTACCAGTCATTGGGTCCTTGTGTCATTTTATGGTTGTAAACTTTGACTTCATCATCACTTTTAATACTTCCTATTTATTACTCTTCTTCTTTGGCTGTTATATGCAGCTAACATTCTTACAGCTTCGTTACTGCCAAGACTCCAGATCAATCCAATCAACCCGTCTCAACACGAAAACTTCTCGATGAAAGTCAATGTTCCCATGACATTCAGTGGTGGTCCATTTAAAAAAGATTTTAATTTTTAATTATTCTGGGTTTTTTTTTTCACCATACTAAAATACTTATGATATGATAAACTCAAATGAAAAGAAACCTGTGAGCAGAAAGCCAAGTGGAAAAAACAGTTCACTAGGATTTTTATAAAATATTATCTGCTCACCAGGTTTTTAAGGCAGCTGTTTGCACGGAGCTCAACAACCTTTACTTTAAACAGACATTCGGGAAAATATAAACACAATTGCTTTCTATACACTGCCCTCTTCATTCCCCACCTAAAACCACCTGGTTCCCAGGCCAAGAAACACAGGAGAAAGCAGGAGAGGTTTGCATGTGGGAAGGTGAGGCCAGCAGCAGACCTCTGAGGCAGGTATGCATCATGTTTCTTTTTCCACTCCACACTAAAGTTGCCAAATCCTCACTCCTCGCTGCAGCATAAATAACTTTGGCGTACATGTGATGCATCGTTGCGGGATGGTTGATTTACACGTGGTGATCAGGAGTAGGTTTTCCTTGGAGGTGGAAAGGAGAGATTGTGACACGGCTGTGTAATGTGAGCAATCCCTGTGAAATGAAAGTTCCTAAGAGACAAAATAGTCTTCTTACTTTTAAACAAACTTGGGCAAGATAGAGAGGGGAGAAAAGGAGGAAGGGTGGAGCCCCAGAGGATGAGTTTTTTTTCTGAATTTATCTTTAATTCTGCTTGAAGTCCTTTGCCCTGCCTTCAAGAAAAACACATGGACCCAATTAGTTCGACCCCCCACAAACCCTTGATGTCGGGCTCTCATTAGTGAATTATTTGGACAGAGTTGAGCACAGGAGGGGAAACCAGTGTAACATGTTGACCAGAGGGATGGATTAAAAATATGGGATTTAGAAACTGGGAGTCAAAACACAATGTCATGCTCTTACATGCAACAGGATAATAAATGGTAAGGGGGTCTGGATCAGGGGTATGTAACGTATACTCTACTCGCTTCAAGGCCTCATCATTCATTGGCTCGCAGCCCTGGAATGTCACTCACATTCTCCTTGACCTTCATCTGTCTCCTTCTCCGGTTGCTCATATATCTTCAACACTCCTCCATTTGTGTTTGTTTTAACTTTCTCAGGACCCCTCTGTAGCCTATGCTCGTGCTTCGTACACCCAGGAGAACGGAGATTTCCCTCCTACGTCTTTAGGGTGAGCCAGATTTTCGCTACCTCTCTCCCTCCCACACAGTCTCTCCCACTCACTGTCTTCGTTTACTCTAATGTGAGGGCTCAGGCTGCGTCAGCTTGTCCTCAGTCCCTCTCATACCTCCTCCAGTGCTGTACTAGTAAAACCATCACAGACTGAGGTGTTTTATGGCTCAGAGAGGAGTCATAGCTAATGCTGTAAAGAGAAAGTAAACTCACACTCTGGGGTTGGTTAGTAAGTGTTCGGCAGGGGTCGCACTGAGTCACCCGACTGCTTGGCCTCTTACTCCTCACTGCGGGGTGTCTCCTCTGAGTCTGGCCCACAGACTGGGTCAGTGTATATCCTTCATGTCACACAGTTTTCTGAAATGTCTCCCATACTCTTGAACTCCTAACCCTACAATCCAGAACCTGAACACACCAAACCACAATCCCTTTTCTCAGAGTGTTATTTTTTTTTCCATCTCTGGTACATGAAATAAATGTGTCTCTCTGCTGACTTCACTGATGCACAGCTTTCTCCTTAAAACAACGGCATACAGCGTGGAGTCTGTGGTAAAGGTGTTTCAGCTTGAACGTGTTTTTGTTCGAGGTCGCGTGATGCTTACTGCACACCAGTTATGAGGAGCTGGAGTGTGTCAGCTGCCATGTGTGAGTGAGTACATTTGTTGAGACGTGCACCTGTGCTATATTTGTCTCCACATTGCTGCGTATGAGATTTTTTCACAGGGCAACATGGCTACGTTCAGTCAGCAGGATGTTTCCCTGAAGGCACCTGGGAAAAGACCAAGCATTTTTCATTGGTGTAAAGCCAGTCTAATCTTAATTAATGGAAAATTGTGGATGTTTGTGTCACTAGGTGGAGACCTACAGACATGTTATGTCTGTTCTGACAATTAAAGTATTGTGTAATTCCAGATAACAGACAACAGTAATTATTAGGTTTTTTAAACAATGACTCATAAAGATGGTTCACCTCACACCGATGTAAATCCCCTTTAGTGATGACTAAAGTCCCAAAGTGTAGTGCCGTTGTGTTGTAGTAGTTTAGTTTACCTGAGAGTCTCTACTGACCTCTGCTGGTAAACAAACTGAAAGACATCTAATACGTGTCTTCTAATATACAGTATGTAGGACACATCACAAAGTGTTATGGTACAGTAAGTATAATTGCACTTTTAAAAAAAAAAGACTCTTCTTTTTTATAAGAGAGAAATAAAGGATAAAAGGACAAGGGATTTAAGGTCCCAGAAATGTTTATATAGATTATATTTTTTACAAAGACAACGGTTCTTGAAGTTTTACCAACTAAATAAAGACAACAAATGATTTTGCATCAAACTTACACCACCTATTAAAATAAGTACTGTTAAAAATCGTTATGATAATGAATAAAAATATCACAAAAAATCAGTTACTTTTGGACAAAACTCCAAAACCTTTATCAAACTTTTCATTAACCATTCAATTGCATTACAACATATTAACAAAAAGTTAATATGCTTTATTAAAATATATTGAAGGCATTATATATGTAATATGTTTGTATGTTTTTTTTTCTTGAAAACAATAAAACTACTCTATCTTGGTTGTAGATTCTTAAACCTTTGAGGCTTTCAAGCCTTTATAAAACTGATCCACAAGAGGAGCTCCATGTTCTAGTCACCAACCACCAGAACATTTTACATTATATAATGGGAATAGGAAACAGTGCATATTTAACCTAGTTTGTCTCTTTATCCATAAACAGCACATTTTTGGAAATGGGGGAATTTCTGGAACACAGTACGAGGACAACATGCAATACCCCAAAGGCTCATCAATGGGCCAGGGGCCACAGTTTGCAAACCACTGGATTAAGACTTGCGACCTTTGCGACAGTGCAGTCAATGGCGCAGGAATCAGAATACGGCAGTGTGAAGAAGATGGCGCAGGGTGGCGATGATGCAGAGCTACTCAAGGAGAAGGCAAATAAGTTCTTTAAAGGTAGTTTTTCCATCTTGTCACGTCTCTGGTCTCTGTCATAGCACTATAACCGACACAGCTTTGGCCAAATCGTACAGAAAGACAGGTTTTTATAGCGAAACGTTCTAGCCGGAGCCGGTCGCTCATGTGAGGCTAAGCTAAGACCGTTCAGAAAGCATGCTAGCTGTGAAGTCCATTCATTGGATTAGCTCTAACTAAGTATAAATAAGCCGCACTTTGGAGTTTCGAGTTACACCTTTATATCTAATATATACGCGTTCCCTGCCTCGCTATAACCCCTGTGCATGTATATACGTATATACGGCTATTTAATGACAACTGTCAGTCAACAACGTGCTCAAGCAGCACTTTGTCCCAGCATTTCGTGTCGTGCACACACTTAACGACGAATGTCCCGAACCAACAGTAATTTCCTTTAAAGAGGAAGAGGGACAGTCTAAGAGGTATGGTTTACTCCATATGTATTTTGACAAATACAAAACATTTCAGCACCACAGCTAGTGCAAACTGTTTAAGGCGTCTTACTATTACGTAGGTGTTCACTTTATGATTGACGGAGTTTGCGTTTCCGTAATGGAAACGGGGAAATTACCCCGAATGAAAATAACTGTATGAAGAGGCGTCTTCTCTATGAATGCATTACTGTGTTGTTTAGAACGAATTGATAATAAAGCATTTATTATGCACATGTATGTAAACAACAGTTGGGGAAACGTCTGTTGTGTGAATTGTATTCTCTGTCTCATGTCCAACTCGTTGGTCCCCCCCCTAGCATTTAATTACATTTTATGTACAAAATTGTCCTAATTTTTAAAGACCATGTGTAGTAGCTAAGATCCCAAATTTTATAGGTTAATTTAGAGTTCAACTCGAATGACATTTTATGATTTTTTTTTCTTGCAAGAATTAAGAAACAGTTAAATTTGATGCAAAAGATTCCACATGCTGTAATGCCAAAACAGAAGTGTTAGAACACAAGTAGTTGTTTAAACTGAAGGACTTTGGAACAGCTAGAGAGACACATACTGTTCATGTTAGAATAGGGTTTACGCTCGGCATGGACAGGATTTTCCTTTTCTTTTAGAAGCCTACAATATGCTAAAAAGTTACTTATTGCTGTTCCTTTTGTGTGTGGCATGCCATTCATGAAGTTATCAGTGGACATGGTTGTAGTTTTTTTTTTTTTTTTTTCACAGCACCGTTCAGTGTGACCATTTCTTGTGCTGCTTTTAGCCGGATGTCATGTATAAGAATTATTAGATGTTGTAACTTTAGCCTAAATGAGATTCCCACCTCGGATCATTGTTACGCTATGATGGAGCAAAATTGTGCTTTGTGTCCAGGGTGAATTACTAATCTTTATTTAGATTTCCACAAATGTGTATGTGCAACATTAGTGAATAATTTTTTTATATTGTAAATAACAAAAAGATAAATGTAATTATGTCACCATAATTCATATAACTATGTATTTTGCATTTTCTTTTCTTTTTTTCACAGAAAAAGACTATGACAATGCCATTAAGTACTACACAGAGGCCCTGGAGGTTAATCCATCCAATGCCATCTACTACAGCAACCGAAGTTTGGCATATCTACGCACAGAGTGCTATGGCTATGCCCTGGCCGATGCTACAAAGGCCCTGGAGATCGACAAAAACTACATCAAAGGGTATTACCGCAGAGCCACGTCCAACATGGCACTGGGAAAGTTCAAGGCTGCACTTAAGGACTATGAGACGGTAAGGTGGTGAAAAAAAATGTTGGTAACTTCAACCTGTAGTTCAGTGGCATTGAGTTCATTTGTGTTTTTACTCTAAATGTTGTTTTGTAAAAAGATACATCTACAATTTAACCATTTCACCAAGAGTCTACAAGTTGCCCTAACTAACATGAATATGGATTATAATTTAATCCAGCCATGGTGCCAGCGCCACTGCAGCTAATTTGGTGTCAGTTGTCATTATGAGCTATTCTGATAACAAGCAGCACAAACAAACTGTGGCTGTGACAGCAAAGACCTTTTCAGCTCCACCTTCACGATTTATTACACAAACTTGTCAGACTGCCATTCAAACAGAATGAAAAATTAATCCAATGAAGTTCATGTGTTATTTTTTGCCAGTAGACTCCAGTCTGTGTAGCTATAAATATAGATGTTTTATTATTTAGAGAAATGTACGTTATTATACACACCATGCATGACAAATTACAGTATAAATGTGTCATAATAAAGAGGATTACGAAAGATGGTTATAGGCTTTACCTTGAAAGATCACACCCTGTGTTTAAATGATGCATTTTCCTTTTTTGAAACTAGGTAGTAAGAGTTCGACCCAATGACAAGGATGCAAGAATGAAGTACCAGGAATGTAACAAGATTGTAAAACAGAAAGCTTTTGAAAGAGCCATCGCCAGCGACGAGATAAAAAAGTCTGTTGTTGACTCTCTAGACATCGAAAGCATGAGTATGTTTCATTCCCATTTAATTAAAACACTAGTGATACTTAAGCTTTATTAAAACAACATCAAAGTAGGATTTAAAAAATCTCAATTGTCACATTGTTGCTTCTGCTGTTTAATTTTTATATTTTTTAATCTGAGCTTTTATTTTGTGTTACAGCGATTGAGGACGATTATGTAGGACCCAAACTTGAGGATGGAAAAGTCACTGTAAAGTTCATGAAGGAGATGATGGATTGGTTTAAAGATCAGAAGAAACTGCACAGAAAGTGTGCTTATCAGGTAAAATATGCTATATTATAAGACATGTAATGTTAAGCCTCATAATAGTTATATTTACAGCTATTTCTGACATTGTGTTTCAGATTTTGGTGCAAGTTAAAGACGTTCTATCAAAGCTACCCAGCCTTGTTGAAATCACATTAAAAGAGGTGACTTTCTTCAGGTTTTATTTTTCAGCTATTACTGTTTAAAGGCAGTGAGTGCAAATAAGTTTTCATTTTGATTTAATGTTAATTTATTACTTAAAGTTTTTTCTATGTCCCTTTGCAACAGACGGAACAAATAACTATTTGTGGTGACACCCACGGGCAGTACTATGATCTCCTGAACATCTTCAAGTTGAATGGGTTACCATCAGAGACCAACCCTTATGTATCCTTCACAAAAAAAATCTCATTGTTGTATATTTGAGGTAAAAACTGTCTGAAACCCTTGGGTCCTTTTCCTTAACCACACACCTCAGCTCTTCAATGGAGACTTTGTGGATCGCGGCTCTTTCTCCGTTGAGGTCATTTTCACCCTCTTTGGCTTCAAGTTGCTCTACCCCGACAACTTCCACCTGCTTAGAGGTACGAACACCTACTGTTGGTGCATATGTGTAGTCTGCACATCTATACCATACCAAAGTCTGCAAGTATAAAGAACTTTCATAATAACCAAACCAACTATACATACCAACAGGTAACCATGAAACAGACAACATGAACCAGATGTATGGCTTTGAAGGTGAAGTGAAGGCCAAGTACACGGCTCAAATGTTCCAGCTGTTCAGTGAGGTTTTCCAGTGGCTTCCTCTGGCTCAGTGCATCAACACCAAAGTACTGGTACGTACTGGTTATTCAAGCTTACTAATAACAGCAAATTGACCTTGACCGCCGTACTTCACAGCAATAAAGCTGTGACTCCAATGACCATGTGTCAAACTGAGAATCCATCCGGCAGTCTGCTTTTGAAAAACAATCCTATAGTTTTGCAAGATTTGACAGATTGTTCTTGTTGGACGCCAACTGTTGTGAATGAACAACACAAAAATAACCTGTTCCTCGTTTTTGTTCCCTCACTTGACCAGTGTTTAATCACTGTTGTGGTTGAGTTGATGTCAGCTGCAGCCTCCCCTTTTTGCAGGCAATACAGGAACTTTATAAGAGCAGCAATTGTTGCTGATGTTTTGTGTAACACTGAGTCTAATTAAAATTTTCCATCTCAGGTTATGCATGGTGGACTGTTTAGTGAAGATGGTGTCACATTGGAGGACCTCAGAAAGATTGATAGAAACCGACAACCTCCTGACTCAGGTAAGACCAGTTTCCAAACACAACTAAGAAGAAGGGGATTACAGGAACATAACTTTTTTTTTTTTTTTCCCCTCAGGTCCCATGTGTGACCTTCTCTGGTCAGATCCACAGCCGCAGGTCAGTTTCCCTCCACATTGTATATCTGAATAAGCACTGGCACCTGTATTTAATTCACACTCATTTGGACTGTTTTCCCCCTTCCTTATACAGAATGGTCGGTCTATCAGTAAGAGAGGTGTGAGCTGTCAGTTTGGGCCTGATGTGACGGAGCGCTTCTTAGAACAGAACAAGCTTGACTTCATTGTGCGGAGTCATGAGGTCAAAGCAGAGGGTTATGAGGTCACTCACTCAGGGAAGTGCATCACCGTATTCTCAGCGCCCAATTACTGGTAAGTACTCACAATGACTGACCTATAGGTTTTTTGTTTTTTTCACCCTGTAACTGGGATGTCTTTTCTGCCTCTTACAGTGATCAGATGGGAAATAAAGGAGCGTATATTCACCTCAGGGGATCGGACCTCAAGCCAAACTTTCACCAGTTCACTGCTGTGGTCAGTAGTCTTTACTCCTATGTGTCATTATTCTAATGAAAAAGCTTTTGTTAGGACACTGTCTTTCTGTGTATAAAAAATAGTCCACTGCCTAAGAAACAGAAAATGTACAATGGTGCCCACTAGCGTTTGTTAGCTGGTGCTGCAATCCTAAGCATTAGAGCGCGTTGCTCTCAACCAATTCCAGATAATGCATCATTCAGTCAGACATATAATTTTACTAAAATCAAGAGCAGTTGTCAAAGTTTGTAAATTCGTTTTGGAAAGAAAAAGGCACACTTTCTTTCATTCTAGAGTTCTGAAATGATATTTATTATCCCAATAGAATAAAAACATTTGACATTATGTTTTTTTGCGTTTCCGTAATGGTTTCTTTCCTTGCCCCATTTTTTTTTCTACAGCCTCATCCGAATGTCAAACCCATGGCATATGCCAACACGCTAATGCAGCTGGGGATGATGTAGAGGCCTCGCTCCAATGTCCATGACACTGACCACATCCCATCTGACCTGGACCATCCCAACCACATCACTTCCTCCAGTGCTCGGAAATGCTTCATGCTTGGCCCATGAGATATCTCTCCCTGACAAACCTCCACTAGTTCTGCACAAAATCCATGTTAGGTAGTAACAAGATGAGAAGAGGTCATTTGTACCAACCGTAGCCCAGTATAGAACTGTTCAAATCCTCTCATCTTATCAGTTATAACTGGAACACCATAATGTCTATTTGTCTGCTCGTGTGGGCAAAAAAATAAACTTCAGTTTGGGACAAGTTACATGGGAGCTGCCTGGCTTTCAGTTAAATGATGTAACTCGGCAGAGGGTGTAATGTAATGGTAATTACCAAAGATCTGTGATGGAAGAAATTATTGTTCATTTATTACACAAGCTGTATTTTGACCCTGAAGTATAGAATTGTACTGAATACATGGATTTTCGGCTAACTAGATACAGAGCAGCAAGCTAAACAGTGTTTCCCAACACACCCTACAGTATGTTAGTAATTTTTTTCCTGAAATCCCTCTCTAAGTATAAATCATTATTACACGTATGATACCACTGCAGAAAAAGACACATGGTGTCTCTGGATACACGTAAAGGTGCTGTTTGCCATTAGTGGTGTATTTAGCTGGTCAGTCATGTAGCTGGTAACACTTATATTTGCACTGCTGCAAAACTTCCGACTGAGGAAGATATTGCTGCTCTTTATCTTATCATCCCTGACTGTCATTGTGCCACTCACTTGGCAGCTCTTGCACAGTCTTCTATCCAAACTTGCTTTGGTTTAAGGTAAAGTACAGAGGGCAACTCATTACCGGTGACTTTGGGCCCCACCTGCCTGGCCCTCTGCTACACAGATGTCTCCAGATCACATATGCTCAAAATGCATATCCTGTCTTGAAACGCACAGCTGCATTGTCCTATGGCCCTCGACTTTTTAGATAAAAGAATACACTCATGTGTATGTATATATACTGTATCATTTAAAGATTCTGTGTAATGTTTGGAGAAAAAACGTTGAATTAAAAAAAATCCAGTCCTGTGATTTTAGAACTAAGCTGATTTAGTTTGTCTTTGTATCTGTTTTCTTTCTGGATGGGTGTTCAATGGGTGTGTATTTAAATACATCACGCATTTACAAGCCCTGTGTAACAGCAGCCTTTTGAATACAGTGGTCAAAGTACATTTTCACAGCCCTGCCATTCCACTCCTGAAGTGTCTCCTTTCTTTGTTTATGTATTTAATGCAATGCCATGACTCCTTGGCTGCAGAATTCTGTTCTATGGGTTTTTCAATGCTTAAAAGCAAATAAATAAGTCATTATTTTACTGAACTCTGCCCAGAGATTTCCAAATGTATAAAATTGTTTTAAACTAGTAATTGTATTACAAACTTGGAATCAAGAGTTTAAAAGAAAAAAAGACAAAGTTTTGCCAAAAGCAAAACAGATACCACTGCCAAACAGCAGTCTACAAGGAATAGGTTTAACCACACCAGAAATTGTGTAGTTTATAAATACATTGATCAAATTTGACTTGCTTAAATCATAGCTAGCTAGAAATACAGAGGGTAATGTTAGCCATACAACAGTCAAAAAATCAATAAATGATAGCTCAAAGCAAGAAAAAAGACGATATTCCCATCTGCAAAGGAATTAATGCTGTTCCATCGGTGAGTTGATACAGTGTTTCGTGTTGATTCTATGACAAAACCATAAACATATAATTCTGTCTCAAATATAAACATTTAATTATAAATTAAATGGCTACTTTTTAACGTCTACACGTCTACACCCGCGTTTTTCAATTATAAAGACTGGTATTAGTTTTGTGGGATTAACACAGTCCTGCCTAGCAACGTCTTACTAATTGCTCACGTGAGCCTTTTTCTTAATCTTTCTCGCGGCTTCCGTAGTCCAGGAAGTGAAATGTAAACAAGTGTACTCTCAGTTCGTACTAAATACAATCCGTCGTTTTATATTTTACTATTATGTGTTACTTTCTGGATCATTCGATAAGTTTGGCGAATGTATTAATATATGGTAACCCCTGGCAGCTAAACAGCTAACATAATATAAATATGTAACATGACTGGTGTATATTTCAGCGGCTTCCTGTACAACAGCTGAATGTAGGTCACGTGCTGCCCAAACACTTTTGCAATTGCTGACACCACAGTCTCACTTCCTTCCTCGGACGGACAGGACAGGACAGGACAGGTCTCGTCTTTTCCTGTGTCTCCTCCTGTGTTAGATCACGTGAAGTCATCATCACCGACTGAAGCAGCAGAGTAGGAGCCGGTGAGCTGCTACTTGTTTCCACACCAGCAGTGATGGAGGCTGGAGGCAGGAGAGACGCTGCTGCTGTCTGCAGCCTCCTGTTTCTCTGTTTGGGTTGTTTCCATGTGATAGCTCTCAAGCCACAACTTTTCAGACTCGGTGCTTCCCCCTTACCCAGTGAGACCCCTATCAGCTATGAAACGCTATACTTTGACCAAAAGGTGAGTTCATTTCTTTTTCTACTCGCGCTTTGTCCGTTAAAATAACATTCGCACTTTTGTCTTGAAGGGAAATGTAAACATTTGCGTATAAATGAGCTTTAGTAATTTTAATTAGTACAATTATAAATTATTTAAAAGGACTAATTAACTCAATCCACAAAGGGGTCTTTCTCAATCTATGGTGCTCGTAACACTGGTAGTACCAGGGGGAATGTGTTTCCTATAATGATTTGGTTAGTAGTTATAATTTACAGCAGTTATATATCGTGTCTTCCCTGTTTGTCTTGTATGGTGACGGAATGGAATCAATCAAGTAGTTTGTGCAAATTCATAGTCTTTGGTGGGTAANNNNAGTTAAAGAGAGTCGACCTCTGATGCTTTAAATTATTATTGGTCAAACTTGTGACTTTTGAGGAGCTAGATTTTTTTTCAAATGTGACCTAAGATTAAAAAAGCTAGGGATAGTGGGATAGAGATACTAGAGTCAGAAGAAAGTACTGGCCTACTGGACTATACACAAAGCAGGGTTGTTGTACTAGAAACCTTTGATTGTGACAAAATGTTTAAGAAGGAGTGGCAAATTTAGGTTAAAAACTTTAGACCCTCTGCAACAAACCAAAATGTGCAGTGTCATTCACTCACTCCATGATGATTCTGTGGTCATTTCTAACTCTGTGCTCTGAATGACCCTGGGTGTTAAAGATGTAATGTAAATTAAACACAAGTCACTAAGTGGATACTAATTTTTTTTTTCTTTCTTAAACTGCAAGGATGTTGGAAAATGCCTAGTTGCCAAGGGTTTATGTTTTGTCTTTATGTTGTTCAGTAATTCCAGCTGAAAAAGCTGAAAACTGATCTGACAAATATAGTAGGAACACATCTGAACAGTTCAAACAAGAGAAGAATTGATTTAAGGCCCAGTTTAATTCCTTTGTCGTAGTGCACGCCAGACCATGCATCCAGACCTTGTTTTTACTGCTAATGCTTTTACAAGGCCAGCAAGTGGAAAAAAGCAAGTAAAACCTTCAGTCACTGTTAAGGAATTTTAGGTAATCAAACTTTTCCCAGATGTTATCAGATTAAAAAAACATTAAATCTTAAACACTAAGTGTTTTGCATTATTAAAACAAATGTTTAAGTCAAAGCAGATGACGTAAGATGTTGTTGAAGGTGCTTAAATCAAAGTTAAAATAAGGCTAATAATGACTGATTCATATTTTCCTCATCTCTACTCACGTCGGCCCCACTGTGAACCTTTTACTACTATCTGCACCAATTTCTCTTTCTAATCTGTAAAGGTTTGTCTACGTTGTGTTATGTCTCTGGACAATAGACGTTTCACTCTGGTTTCCTGTAGTGAAGGGAAATCTCCACAATCAGTCCTGTTTTTGCCAGCATGGCCGGAACTGTCATTCCTGGCTGCTGGCCTAAAAAGCTCTCCAGGGCTCAGTGAAGCTGAGCTACTTCTCCGAAACAGATACCTCTCGAACAGATCTTCTTTCAGCCTTAACATTTGCCATTTGCAGTTACTTCCTGGTGTGTCAGCTTGCATGTTGCATGAGTGATCATACAGTGGAGGATGAAGCAGTGTCATGCTCAGTGACTTGAGTGGTTGACGCATATAATCTTAGTTTTCCTCTGTGTCGTCGTTTGGAGTAGTATCTGGAAAATCTATTTAGATTTTTACTGCAGGATATTTTTTATATTTTTTTTACCTTAAAATCTCACACTGTATGCCCAAAGCTTTCACCTAAAAAACCCTGAGACAGAGTTTGAGCTTGTAACGATAAATTGTTATTGAGTCTCTGTCAAAATTTTGACAAATATCATTGTGCTCTGAGACGCTGCCAAATTAATTTTCTAGATCAATTGCCGCCTATTGTGGCTTCTTTACATCATGTTCACTCTGTTTGGATGTGGGGACAATGGATCACACCTGGTCCAGCCCACGACATCCTGCCTAATCAGCCGAGCTGACAAAGTGATAAAGATCGTTTCCTCCCTTCTCACACCCACTGTCGCATTTAGTGTTGTTTGTTAACCTTTATCCAAAATGGTCCATATAAATCTTAAAAAAAAATCCTAATCAGGAACATTTTGGTTCCTACAGTGAGTTTACTGTAATCTCTGTCCCTCGGACACATCTTTCTCAAATCTCCGTGAGGCTGGTGTGTCTCTGAGGAGATGGACAAGTGATCCAGCAGTTGTCCTCAGGAAATCCTCTCCACTTTGTTCTACTTGCAGACAATGAATGGAAGTGTTTTAGCATCCTCACAATTAACCATGGCTCTTGAGTACAGCTCGTTTCCCCTCGTGTTTATTTACAAGGTTGCTACACTTTCTAAAAATGCAACAAAATTTTATTTGCTTGGGCACCAGACCATTTTCGCTCAGGTTAAAAATATCTTTAGATTAATATTACCAACCAACCTAATTCTATTCACTTAACACTTACTAAATGCATTTACAGTGCATTCTAACGAGAAGAGAACTCTGTAAATGTATCTTTATTATTCCTTTTAATAATTTAGGCATTCACGATACTGATTTCTAATTGTAAATATGCAATTACAAATTCTGCTTGTTGTCTAGGATGATTTTAATGTCTCTGCTTCTCTTACAAGTTATCTTATGTTCAAAATAAATCTAACAATGACAAAATAGTTTTTACTCTAATGTCTCAATGTTTTATAAAGAAAAAGTGAAATGGTTTGTGTCCTGAAAACATGTTTAAAACGTGTTCCTTCTGCAATGCCATAGTGTACCACAGGAGGTCATTGTAGCGCTGGTTACGAAGGACCCATGTAAATGTTGAAGTGAGTTTTTGACTAGAGATTCTTCCAAAATGGATCATATCTGCGGGATCAACTTTTGAAAACAATTTTATTTCAAATTTCATATCACACTGAAAATAACAGCTACTTTTTTCATTTTACAAACTCGACTCTCTACTCTCTAAGTACCATATGTGTTGAACCAAGGCTGGTCAGAATGTCAATATTGCATTGCTTTAGCTGTGCTTTTTTAAAATATTGCAACAAATTAAAAAAATAATTTGGTACCTGTACGGGCACATGTGTGTAAACGTATGTATTTACTTTTCCTCCTGATTCTATTTGTCCTAGATTGACCATTTTGGATTTGTGGAGGACGGCACGTTCAAACAAAGATACCTCGTGGCTGACAAGTACTGGAAACAGCCCGGTGGACCCATTCTGTTCTACACTGGCAATGAAGGCGACATCGCCTGGTTCTGCAACAACACAGTAAATATACCATCTGTTCCTCTATTTTTACACTGTGCGTGGTTCTCAGCTCTAGCTCAACACCTGCCTTTGTCTTTTCCTCAGGGCTTCATGTGGGAAATTGCGGAGGAGTTGGGCGCCATGCTGGTTTTTGCAGAACACCGTTACTATGGAGAATCGCTTCCATTTGGACAAGACTCTCACAATGTAGGTGACGATGCAATGACTCTGAGTTGATTGGGGAAAAAAACCTGAATACCCATATACAATTGATTTGTTTTTACTTACATTATTTTCTAACTTCAGTAAATGATTGCAGATTTAATGCCCTCCTTTACCAGCAGATGGTGCTATTAGGTCATTTTGAAACCTATAGTGTATTACTGAATTGAGCTGGCACAAGGGTTTTAAATATCCCTGAAACTTTGTACAGACATTTAACTTTCAGGATAAAAAAATCATCACTAAATGCAAGAAAAAAGCGAACACATAACTTTCAGGATAAAAAAATCATCACTATATGCAAGAAAAAAGCGAACACATCTGATTCAGTCCTTTATCACAGTGAGAAAGAGCTGTGCTTTATATCCAGCACCAACACCTGCTGGTCTGTTTGGCTGTAAACCTTCAGCAATGTTGCAATTAAACTTTTGTATTATTATTAATGTATGGACAATGTTTATTTCCAATTTATTCAATACATTTTTTTTCTATTTTTGCTTGCAGGACAACAAAAACCTGAACTTTCTGACTTCAGAACAGGCCTTGGCAGATTATGCAGTGCTGATTGACAATCTGAAGAGAACTTTACCTGGAGCCCAGCACAGCCCTGTCATTGCTATTGGAGGTTCTTATGGAGGGATGCTGTCTGCCTGGTTAAGGATGAAATACCCACACTCTGTTGTTGGGTAATATTCTACTGAAATGAATGAAACCGACTACATATCATATTACCTAGTTGTGCAGAAGCTATAAAGGCAAGGAAACATTAGGTTCCCAAAGTTATTCTGAAAGTTATTCTATTCTGTTAACATGGCCAGAAATGGCTAAAAGCTGTGATTAACTGTGTAGTTAGCCAACTAGCTAGCTCAGTGCTAACAAGAAACATAAATAAAAAACAGCCAGAACTCTTAATAGTAGTTCACAAGTTTATAAATAAATAAATGTCAACCGTTAAATGTGTTCGTTAATTAAGTAAATGGAATGAAACACATTACAGACAAAGGACATTTTTAGAACACATCTTATCCCTACTGTATACAGAGCTCATCAAATTGACTTTCTTTCTTTACATAATGAATATATTTGCTATTTTAATTCTGAAAATGTAAAAAAAATTACAAATCTATCTTGGTTTTGTGTTTCAGAGCCCTAGCGTCCTCTGCACCAATATGGCAGTTCTCTGGTATGGTGCCATGTGGAGACTTCTACAAAGTAGTCACCCAGGATTTCGCCAGAAGCGGCTACAACTGTGATGGCAACATAAGAAAATCATGGAAGGCCATTAATAACATCTCCTCTACAGGTGCATAACAAACACTTGGAGTTTTATAACAAAACATACTCTAATTCAAAGAGAACCTTCAGAGTTATTAATAAGCCGTGTTAAACCATGGAGCTGTGATGTTCTCCTGGGTGGTGAGAATCTCTGTCCATATGGATGAGTCATCCATCAACACATTAGACACCTGACAGTTCAACAGGCATAACGTTAGCAGATTGTGACTGTGAACGAGTGCATGGATAAAAGTCTGATCGGGATAATTTATGATTTGTCTTTAATTAGATTAGAAATTCATCACCTGTCAGCTTGACCTCATGAAAACAAAGTAATAAAGAATCACCTGTCAGCTTGACCTCATGAAAAAAAAGTCTGAGTAATAACAAAAAACATTTTTCTATTCTCTCCAATCAAGTCTCTGGTCTCCAGTGGATGTCAGAAGAGTTCAGTTTATGTGCTCCACTCAAAAACAAGAACGATGTGGGCATCTTCAAGAACTGGCTTCAGGAGACCTGGACCAATCTGGCCATGGTGGATTATCCATATGAAGCCAACTTCCTGCAGCCACTGCCCCGCTGGCCCATTCAGGTAAACAGCCACGACATGTCTGTACTGTCACATGTTCCAAGAGCCTTTTTGATCACAACCTAGGAAATTAAAAAAAAAGTATATTTATATGATTCTTTATTTTAGCTGCTGTGATTTTTGCTAGCGTTTTTGCTAACTTTAAGCAATATTTGGCCTAATCAGGCATCTTATTGCCAATAAAGGAATATTTTGCGATTTAACTGAACTATAAATTTAATTTGCATCCTAAAGTGACCTTTAGAGTCTTCACCTCAAATGTCTGTGCCTGTTGAATCTGGATTATTTTCCAACTGAAATGACATTCATTATAATCATGAACAATTATTTGCTTCAGTCGTTCATGTATTAATTGGTGCTTTGAACTTTTTTTTGTCTGACTCCATTTCGGCCCCTAACTCGGGCCTGACAGCCTGTCCTTAATTGAAATGAATGTGTGGTTCACTCAAGTGTGTTTCAAGTGTTTGTTGTGGTCTTCAGAGCCTTTGTTTACAACAGCTGTCAATTAGCTTCATTAATATTCATAAGGATCCTGTTTCTTTTGGATTTTTTAAAACTATTCTTTAGACAAGCAGCTACAAGTAAGCCACCACTCTTTTCCTGGCTCACCAGCAGTCTTTTCATCCGCGTTGTCTGATCTCTGAGGTGTTCCTCTCAGGACGCCGCGCAAACAAACAAGACATTTTGCTGCAACTCGGTAAAAACAACGGGGCTTTACCTCTCGGTTCTGAATCAGACTCAGATTCACAACAGAACAAAAACTCTGAAATGCTGTAAAGATGATGACTTTTATTTTAGCTTCCTGTTAAACATCTCACTTTTATTTTAACAGTAGCCTTTGCTTTAAGCTAAAAATGTAAATATCTGTTTTTGGCGTTTATTTTTTGTGATTTTCTTGGCTTTTTTTTTTTTGGTCCCAATTTGGTAATTGTTATCCTTCTTGTTTCTTTGTTTGCTGATCCTTTAGTTCGTAATTATTTGCTTGTTTCTTTGTTTGCTGATCCTTTAGCTCATTATTTTTTGAACTGCTGGCTTAAATTAAGTGTTTTTGGGCAACTATTTTTTTTTTCAGGTTTTTTTAGCTTTTATATCAGGGTGGACCTGGGGTATTTATATTTTCCTGCTCTGTTTTATTTTTGCTAACTTTAGGTTCCTTTTGTGTGACCCTATGTTTTCCTTTTTGGAACCCTTGATCACATATCTATTTTTGTACTAGTTGTTTTTCTGTCCTACTGTAGAATATTTTAGTTGCTGTAAATAAATATAAAGAATATGATTTAATCCCAGCTTTTAAAACTATTAAAGCGTCGGTAAAACTGAGGGACTGAGTTTTCTGTGTAGATGAGTGTGTACAACAGCACCGAGTGACTTGTGTGCAGAAACACACGGTTTACTTCCAGTCATCCTGGTACATCACGTGCATAAACCATGCGCCTCCACAGACCCAGGCCACTGTTTGTGCCCCCCTCCCTCCCTGTGCCTCACACTGCACTCACAAAATAAAACTTTCACAAGACTGCCACAATTTCTTTGTTATTATTTGTTTATCTTTGCTCTCAAACAGCTCCAAGAGCATCTTACTGAATAATGCAAACACTAAATGGCCATTTTGGGTTTCTCTCACACTTTGTGTCTAATGTATGCGACCCCTATGGGTGGTTTAAGCAGTTTAGTCAGTGGGTGCAAAAGAGGAGTTTTTTTTAATGACAAAGCTAATGTGATTATGTGAGTGAGTGTGAGAACGGGAGTATTGAGGGCTTAGGGGGGGAAATCTGTTGGCAGAGATGAATGTTCAAGCCTAATCCTATCTGAAAAGTAAGGAGAAGATGCTTTGGAGCAATTGCAGTGTTTTTTTTCCCCTTTCTTTTTATTCGGTATAAATCTTTGGTTGGACATGTCTGTGGCCCTCCTCATCCATCGACCACCAACTCCTCCCCAGCCCTTAGACAAAAGCCTTAGTAACAGACTCCACACTAGTGCTGCTCCCCTCTAACGTCCAAACAAGAAGGCCCAGTTTCCCCACTTCACAAAGAGTGCACATCGGCCGCGGCCAAAACTCTGCTGCTGCAGCCATAACAACACGCAGAGTAAGACAAAAACAAAAGCTGAAACTCAAATATTTAACGTCCATGCCATTAGCTCGGAGATGTTAGCCGCAGCCAGAGACCACAACTTTAAAGTGAGTTAAACCTATATTAAAAAAAAACAGGATATTCATCATTTGCTTGGACTGAAAGGACATTTCTTCCCCGTGCGCCAAGATTGGAGCCATAAATTCGAGTTCCTTCCAGTGAATTTCATATGCAAATCAGGCGCCAGCGCTCTTTATGTGGAAAAACACTTTACAGGCCCCAAGAAAGACATCTTCAGTCTTGTAGGCAACTTGGATAAACACTAGCTTCAGAGAGTGGCCAGGCGGGTTCACTTTTTGAACTTTTGTGTTGTGCTGCAGAATTTCCTTTTGTCCAACATCAAACTATTGCATTTAAAAACCAATGGCACAAAAGTGAAACCTTTCTTCATCCAGAACATTTGAACACACAAGCTACCTTTAATGTAGAGAGGTTTTAGGTGAAAAAACACATTCCTAACAACTACTGCTTCAATGGTTATACAGTATTGTCTGGAAGCTAGAGAAATAAAAAAAATGAAATAATAAAATATCCTCCATTTAACCCTAAACACTTGGTGTTTTCATCCTACGAATTCTTTCATTCTTTTCAGTTTCGGGATAAAGAAAACATCTTTTGGAGCAAAATCCAATTCTTTTGCAAACTTAAATAATTTTAATAAGTTCCCATTTATGTTTGCTAAAGAAAAAAAAAGGTTTGATTTCAGAATTGTTTACCTCTGTGTTTGGACAAACAGGGTTGTTGTTGTTGTTGTTGTTAAAATCCGTCTTAGAACGTTTTGACTAACATTCTCACTTTTTTGTGTGTGTGTTTTAACTTCAAGGTGGTCTGCAAGTTCCTGTCCTTCGACTCTGCCGTATCTGACTACCAGCTGCTGCAGGCGGTCTCCCAAGCAGCGAAGGTCTACTACAACTACACCGGCATCACTTCCTGTCTGAACACGTCTCAGACGGCGACTGGCAGCCTGGGTTTCCTGGGCTGGTTTTATCAGGTGCAGTAGTGCAGCGCAGCGGGAACCCCTGGGTGTGAACTGTGAACACTGATCAGCATCGCCTCTGTGAATGAACACACGTCTACTCCCCGTCCCCCAGGCCTGCACAGAGATGGCGATGCCCATGTGCACAGACGGCGTCCAGGACATGTTTGAGGCCGAGGACTGGAACTTCCAGGCTTTCTCCGATGAGTGCAACGCAATGTTTGGAGTCAGGCCGCGGGCCGACTGGGCTGGGGTCGTCTACGGCGGGAAAGATCTCGCCTCTCACAGCAACATCATTTTCAGGTATATTTCTTATCTTTGTTTAACGAACCAAACGTCAACCAGCAGCTTTGTTAGTACTAGAACTAGAACTAGAACTAAGTATTACAACTGCTACTTACTATCTGTAGTGTAGCTGTACTACACTGTACTATACTTACTGTCTATACTACAGATGTACTGTACTTACTCTCCGTACTACAATTGTACTACAGCTGTATTGTACGCACTAGCTGTACTATAGCTGTACTCCAAATGTACTATACTTACTCTATATACTACAGCTGTACTACAACTGTACTGTTCTTACTCTCTGTACTACAGTTGTACTAGTTTGGTCTCTCATTGTACTGTAGTGGTTGATTTCTCAGCAGAGAGTATTTGTGATTTGAATCATTTTTTTAAGTTTTATTTTGATATATCTGTGTTGGCGTGTTTTTTTTTTTTAAGATTTTAGATATTTCTTTCCCCCTAATTCTCTTCCGCTCATTAGCAGCCTCTCATCGTCCGTGTCTCTGTTGTGTTCCAGTAACGGAGGACTTGACCCGTGGTCAGCCGGTGGAGTCTCTTACAACATCACAGATTCTCTGGTGTCCATTCTAATTCCCGAGGGGGCTCATCACCTCGACCTCCGCTACAGCCATGACTTGGACCCCCCCTCGGTCCGTGCTGCCCGTTTGTTAGAGGTGAAGTATTTTCGGGAGTGGATCAAGCAGGCTAAAACAAACACCACGACTTGAACACCATCAGTGTTTAATACAGTATTCTCCCTTTTATTACAAAAGCCAAAGTTTGTATTTTTAACTTAAATGCTTTTTTTTTTAAATAATTCATTAATGTGTATTTAAAATTTGGTAGATTATGTTAGCATTAGCACTGTCAGGAACAGACATCATTAGAGTAAAAGTGTCACTGCACTCTTCCATTTGAAAAACTATGCACTTAAATGGGCTGGAAGATCTGAAGGTTCAGTTTGAGCCAGAAAAATCCAAAGTCTGTAAAATTAAAAAAGAAGCAACTGAAGGTTAAGGAAAAGCAATAAAAAAAAAAACCAAATTTTTTAGAAGGTTAAGGAAAAGCAATAAAAAAAATTTTTTTAACTCAGGAAATGTTTACGTTTTTTTACATGCTCAGTGAGCCCTTTATTGGCATTGAAACTGATATGTGTGTGTACATGTAACACACTGAGTCTATAAGTACTTCAATCAAATCCTCCCCAACTTTCCCTTTTGAGGCGTTTATTCCCTCAGTCAGTGCTTTAATCAACGTTCCCTTTAAATCACAGCGATTCCTGTCATTTCTGCTCTTTGTTGTTACAAATGGAGAGCATTTTGTTTCCCCGCTTCTTATATTGATTTGAATTTGTTGTTATCATTTGTCGTTTTTTCTTTTTGTTTTTTTTTCTAATGTCGATGTCGATGGAAGTCTCAGGAGAAAAGCTGTCAACAAATACGGCACACAATAAATCATTTTCTAAGATGTGCTCATCGTTTCGTAATTGATTCGTGTTCACAGCCAAGCCGTCTGTTGTTTGTTAAATATTTAGTCGCATCAACGTTTACTGAATGTTATTTAAAACCCACAGAATTTATCACATTTCCCCCTGGTTTATTCACATATACCACATTTGAAGAAGGCTCCGTCTGTACATTTGACTTTCCGTCATCGCTCATGAACAATTGGCTGTGCTTGAGATTTAATAAAACCCCAATCGGAGGAAGCCAATAATGTGAGTGGTGGGAGGTTATTGCAGCTACGCTGGCTGACCTCACCCCTGTGGTACAACCTGTGGGATGCCCCCTGGCAAATGCTCGGTCACCAGTAGCCATAAAAGTACTAAATTGTGGCACAGAGGTAGTCCATAGACCAGAGTTTGTTCCCCCCCGCTATTATTATTATTAATACAGCCCCCGGGGTGGCAGAGGAGTGGTGAGGGGTTGATGGAAGGTTAAGAGCGTGTGAGTCAGTGAGTCGATGCGGGACTCAGCGGGGACTTGAACGCCTTTTGTGTTTAGCATGAGTCACAGTTCTTAATATGTCAATGAACTCTTCCACTGTGTTAGCTGCGTCAAAAACTAAAACTAATCACATCAAAACCAATGGTTATCGTCGTCAGTACTCAGATATACTAGCATACTGAAGTACTGCAAAGAAAAGTTGCAATACTTCAATTTCGTATCTTTGAAATATATATATATATGTATACATATACATATATGTGTATATACTGTATATATGCATGTGTACACATACACATATATTTATACACATATTTTTTAGAAGTAAGAAATTAAAATATATGTATTTGTGTATATATGTATATATATATTTATATATATTTTTTCTTATAAAAATGTAATTGTTACTCATTTTTCTCATATTTGAAGCCAACCTTTCATTTCTGCACTGCGATTTGTAGATATCTGACTGATCTTTGTAGTCAACTTTGACCTATTTTACCTTTAAATTTTAGCAGTCCTTGAAAGGGAATTTAGGCCATTGAGGAGCCCTTTGCTTTTTGGTTAATGTTTACCTATTAATGCCTTTTACCACATTCTCTTGGCCAACAGGCTAAGCTAAACCCAAGTTTCAGGGTTTAGTTGGTAACCTTTAGCTATTTATGGGCTAACCTTTAGCAATTTGCTATTACTAACTTTAAACTGTTTAATTGGTTAAAAATAAAGTATGGAGAAGAATGTCAGGTTAAAAGCTTGTGGTACCTGATATAATTGGGCAGCGAGTACCAAACCTGTGTTGTTCCCATGCAACAGAAGTGGCTGATATTCACTTGACTTTGTGGAACAGATGGAGAATCCGTCCTGTGATGGTGTGTGGCTAGGATTTCTACCATGAGACTGAAGTACTTTACTCTGTGACTTTTTTTTTTTTTGCAAGCTTGACCGGATTTCAGACTCAGCTAAACATGGGGGAGGATGGGATCTCTGCCGCTAAATGCCCTCCTTAAACTTTTCTCAGGACTTTGAGAGGTCATTAATTTCGTCAGCCCTTTCTATGTCTCTGACACCGGCCATCAATCAAAGTTGTTATTAGTATTCGCTCGACCCCAAACTCCGACTACATCCCTGCTCGTACAGGGACCACACACTAGTAGGAAGAGATTAGGCCTCTGTGTGTCACGTCACTTATCCAGGGACCCTCGGTGACGGCCGCTGCTGAATAAGTGAATTCTCAGGGATGGAGGGCGTGGCGGTAATGTTTAACAATATCACAACAATATGGATCTGTGTAGTTAACACCCTGCTGGTGGAGGGGGAAAGGGCGCCGCAGATTACTAATGATTTTCTTGAATTGCGTAAACTCGCTTCTCCTTTGAGATTTGGACATAAAACTTAAGAAATTCAACGTGAAGATTGACCTCCATGGTTAGAGTAAAAACAAAAAGGGTCATTTATCACAGGATGTAACTACGCAATTAACAAACAACCTCACGTTGTAAAGTCAGGAGAAAGTCAAAACCTCATCAGTTAATATTTTTCTCTCTCAGCTCCCTCTCTTCCTCTGCCTCCTCCTCCTCTTCCTCCTCCTCCTTCCCCTCTCAGCTTTTATACAACAATAGAAACTTGTTTCCGGGATCTGTGCGTCAGGGCTCTGTGATGTGAATGACCCACCAGCACAAAAGCCAAAGCCTTTGACTGAGGAGGAAAATGGCTGCTGCAACTGTGGTGATGTCACTTTGCCAAAAACTGCTGCTGCTCACAAAGAGATAGAGGCCGGATCAGTGCTGTGAGGCCGAGAGCCCCGTCACTGGACCACTGCATCAGACGTCTCTGTGTTTCATCAAAAAACATTCCACTGAGAAATGCATCTTTTAATTTACATGTTTTTTGTTTTTAAAGAAAGATACAATTGTGCACAAGCCACGAAAGAAAGATTGGAGAAGACATTTTTAAATATGTTTGATCCAACATGCTACCAGGCTCTCAATGATTCAGTAAAGTAGAAAATATAATATTTGCACTCAAATTTGACTAGAAACAGAGGTTCGTGACTGCCTGTAAAGAAAGCATGTGCAGGTCTGGGGTTCAAATCCCACCTCGGCCACTGTGCTGTGTTGAGCAAACACCACTTCCCTTCCTGGCTGCTTGTGAAAGTGGTCACTGCTCCAGAAATCAGTTGATGGGTGAATTACAGAGGACAAATGTTGGTGTATATAAAAAAAATCAGAATCAGATTCTTCTTCTTCTATCAAGCAGAGAAAAGTAATCAGAGAAAGAATTTAAGTTTAAGCATCAACCACAGACCAGTCCTAATGTTTCCTCATGTTGTGGCTAAAATTGATTGCATTTTTAAAAGCACAGCTCACTATTAAGAAAAACTTAAAAACTTTTAAAAAATATTTTTTAAATTCAGATTTTGCACAGGACAGAGCTGTAATATATTGTTTTCCAGGATCAGAAAATCCATAATTTAAAAACATTAAATGACAGTTTGAGTCAGACTCACAGTCCTGTGAATTATTGTTTTTCCTTGTGATGATGTTTGGTCATTCCTGATTTTACAGATACAAAATGATGACAAAAACTTTACATGAATCCTTTTACAGTCAGAAACAACAAATAGATAATAGATAATTAACTTATTCCCCCTCAGAAATAAACCCAAATAACACTTGTCCTTGTTCTATTTTGTCCCAAATCCTGGGACACTTCGCTGTCGTTAATCTCCCTTGTCTCCTTTTACTCCACCTTTATTTAAGAGCAATCCCAAAGAGAGAGTCAGATTGATTGAGACCTATACATTCTTGGCGAACAAAAAATAATTCAGTGAGACATTTGTGGTACGGACCAACATTCCCGAGAAGTGCTGTTGAAATTCCGATTCGAGAGTGCGGTGTTGGCCACACAGAGTCTGTCTGTGGGAGACATCCTTCAGTGTATTTATCACCGGCCAAGAAACTTCCTGTAAATACATTATTGTTTACAACAGAAGTTTCATACCCGGGATTTGGTAAGGTCAACATTTCTTCTGGCACACTGAGCTGGAGCTGCACTTTATTCCCCTTTAATTTAACAGCTCCGGCAGCTTTTCTAGTTAAATCGACTGTTCATTATTGAGACCCATTTTACGAAGGGGCTGTGAGGTGCAATTTAATGAATCTCTGGCACAAAGCTCCCTTTCACTGCCGGGCAAAGAATAGAGGCTATTTAGACCCTGTAGGGCTTTATGTCAAAGGCAGCCCATAATAGTTGTCAGGCCAGGGCAGAAATTCCCACTGGCCTGGGAATGCACAAGAAATCAACTTTTGCCATGAGCAGATTAAGACACAAGCGAGCGGTCGAAAAGATTCCCCCAAACGGTGGCATCTGTTTGGGCACTAAGATTTTCCCAGACACACGAAAAAGTCTTTTCTCTTTACTGTAAAACGCCTTTTTATTTTACAGCTCTGTTTGTTTCGGTTCCTAAATGTAATGAGATTAGAAGTTAATTTTGGTTTAGTGTTGGGACTGGAAGTAGGCGTGCTAATCGAATGCCGGGATAAAGCAGGAATCAGATGAATAATGGTGAATCATTGACTTTGAGGAATACTTTATTTTTTTTGCGTCGGACCACACAAACTTCCTGACAGGGAAACCCGTCCGGCTGCTCCTCTGCCCTCTGCTGCCAATATCCTCCGCTTTCCTGACGTGGGTTCTGGTCCAGAGCACACACAAACAGTTAAAGTAGAGGGGGAGTTTCCTAACAGGGCTTATTGTCTTCTACTCTGCAGGGAATTTTAGACAAATCCCCTCTTAGATGCAGGTGGTCGGACACAAGCAAAGAGTTAAGTCCCCGGGTCCCTGTGCCCCTCCTCTTTGATGTTCTGACATCATTTGTCCAGCCCCCTGTAAGATCTCCCTGCTCTGCTCACAGCCCGTCACTTTTAATCGGGAATGTTTACAGGAAGCAGTGTCAGGGAGTGAATGTTTTCCTCGAGCACAGACGGAGACATGCTTTGAAGAAAGTTTGGGTTCAGGGATCACAGCAGGTGAAGCGGCCGAGCTCCGAGAGCAGAGTGATGGCTGTTCAGACTGCAATCATGAACCCTCAGTTCATGAACTTCTGCTTCCCCGGGTCAGTGATGGAGTATGACGTGGACAAGAGTCTGGACGGGAGTCTTCTGGGTGAGGCAGAAAATGATGAAGACTACAAGGAGACCACCCGGGACCTGCTAAACTTCATAGACTCGGCCTCCAGCAACATCAAGCTGGCTCTGGACAAGCCGGTGAAATCCAAGAGAAAAGTGAACCACCGGAAGTATCTCCAGAAGCAGATCAAAAGATGCACAGGCATCATCACACCAGGAACTGGGGCAGAACCCCCAGGAAAGAGGCAGGGGTCTCCTCTGGCCCAGCCCAGCCCCCTGCAGAACAAAACTCTACCTAAGCGTGACGGGGTCCAGGCCAACCTACAGAGCAAGAGCCTGGCAGCTCTTTTCAGCCCAGCCAAGGAAATAAGGGGTGAGAAAGCCAAGAAGCCGCCCCTGAGGCACCGCAACCTGCCCCCTTCCTTTTTCACCGAGCCGGCCAACTGCTCCAAAGTCAGCTCCACCTCTGGGATGACACTGAAGGATCTGGAGCGAGGAAACCCTGAGGCCGTGGAGTTCTTCGAGCTCCTGGGCCCCGATTATAGCAACATGGTCAGCGATCAGGACCTTTATCCAAACAGCAGCCTGCGTCTGCAGCCCGAGATGGGAACTCTGGATCCTGCCTGCTACGACTCTCACCATTTGGTCGGTGGTCTCCTGTACTCAGAGCCCTGGACTAGCTGCTCTGGACCCTCTAAGAACCTGCGGGCTAGCCCAGCCCAGCCTCCTGTCTACTGTCAGTCTGAGGCCGCCGCCGCCGCCGCCGCTGCTGCTGGGAACATGGACGACAACGCACTGTGCACTTTGACCTTTCCCAACTTCTTCACAGACTGCTCCATACCTCAGGTCACATATGATTTAAACGGTGGCTACAGCAGAGCTAATTATTCATCTCTATGAGAAACGGACGACGCTGTGGTTCAGTGTGCCAAAATGAAGCAGATACAAAAGTTTAACATTAGTCTGAGAGAGCTGGACATTTTTGTAAGCAATTATAAAACATTTCAAACTTTTTTTTTTCATCACCTGTGCTCTGTTTTATGTGGGTGTGAGTCTGCTGGCTCTCAGGAAGTTCTTTCATGAAAGTTAAGTGGACTCCAGGAACCCTCACCACTGTGGTGTTCAGAACACCAGAAAACAACTTTTTTTTTTCACAGTTTGACAGAAATGCTGCAACAATCTTTCAGCCAGGCACTTTTCTCAGAAAACAAACTTTTATTTTGAAATAATCAAGATTGACAGCATGTACAGACACCTTGTCCACCATTTTTAGATTATTTTCTCTCCACCCCAGAAAGACTTGACATATTTAGATTTTGTTAGATAACAATAAAGCTGGTCTTTATTACCGTGAGAACGAGTCTTGAATTTTCATTTGCTATCACAGACGTGGGATCAAAATACATCAACACCTGAAAAAGAAAATGTTTGTTTCCAACCTAAATCCTATATTTGTGGGTCATTTTTTGCTAAATTGATAAATTCAGTTTTTTACCCGACGCCCCTCTATAGCTGTTCACTTACTGTGTCATGTTTCTGTATATAAGAAAGATTAATTCATATTCAACAGATGACATTAGTTCAGTAAACAAAATTGTTCAAGAAAAACTCCAAATCATTATTTATTTCAAATAAATAAAAATATACAGAATAGAAATTAATAGAATTTGCGTAGAAATAGTATGAATACAATACGTTTGTGATCTAAAGGTAAAGCATATATACATTTAATACACTAAAAAACTAAATATAATTGAAAAAATATATAATAATAATTTTCTCATATCAATCAGGATAGTAAAAAAAAATGGACTAAAGTTTGTTTTTTCCCGCTGCAGTGAAGCTGCCCTCTGACTGTATTTTCTCTCTGTTAGTGGCTGCGATGCTTTCGTGGAATAAATGTTGACCTGCTGAAAATACACCCAGTGCAGATGATGGAGTGATGAATCGTATTATATTACGTGCTTAGATCAATATTATACTGCAATGTTAAACTTCAAACCCAGACTTTTGAGGTTATTGAAGACCGAAAGTCAAAGGTTATTTAAACTTTAAAAGATCTAAATTACGTACGTATCGTATGATACTTATGTTATTTGATTGATTGATTGATTTTTAATTTTTCTAATTAATTATTAATAGAAACACAGTGTGGTCAGTGGTCTACCCCCCCAGAAAGAAGATCAAGATTGATGAATGTATGAGGATTGTATGTTCTTGTCATAACCTTTCCCTTTTTCCTATCTCTTTTCCAGATCAAGATTGATGAATGTATGAGGATGTTCTTGTCATAACCTTTCCCCTTTTTCCTATTTCTTTTTACAGAAAATGTTGGTTTCTTCCATGATTCAAAATCCTGCTGTTTCAGTTCTTGGCTAAATTTTCCACTCTTTTGACTAAAGACTTGGAGAGGTTGTATGTTGGCCTTCAATAAAAATAAGGAATACTTAAATTCTCCAGTAGTGAACACATTCAAAATCAAAACATGGACTCATGTGATCATTAATTCTACATCACCAGGAAAATACGACGTAATTCTTGATGGATGAGAGAAACTATTGATCGATTGCTTCCTTCGTTACAACCAAAACATGAAAACACAGTGATTTATGGATTTCACCGCTGCATAATTAGCCCCTCGAAAAGTTACATAACTCGGACACTAGATGGCAGTAAAGTTCCATTGAAATCTGTTTCCAACCACTCCCATCTTCCAAGGTGTGGTTTTCGTGTCGGATGCATGAGTTTTGTGTGAACTCGTGGCCACGTTTGTCCAGTTCTCTGTGCCAATTTCGTTCTTTCGTCTCTTTTTATGTTATTATTTACAACCGCAAAGGCTTCTTAGACATGAACTGTTCTTTATTTTTTTTTTTTACTTTCAGTTTTCTAGAAGTCTTCCTGTGAGAGAAACATATTTAACAACACACTTGTGAGAATTCTGTGCTCCCTTTAAAGCCTTTATTTTCTGTTAGCATCTTTTCCCTTCCTCCTCCTCTCGCCTTGGACAACACCGCCCTGTGTCATTAGCAGGAGAAAACACCAGCTGGCAAGCCCTCGGACTATAGACATAGAAAAGGTATGGATTTTCTGTCACCAAGGTGACGCGGGCTGATACATTCAGATAAGACCCCAGTGATGGAGCCCCCACTGTACCCTGCTTTATTTATGGCACAATGGAGATGCACTTTTTGTCAGAGCGATTAATGAGGTTAGTTGTGTTGCAGACCAGAATAAACGAGACTAAGATATGGAGACAAAGATCTGCAGGTACATGTTCATCTTCTTCTTCTACAGCTTTATTCTTTTCTTCTTAGGGTGACGCATGAGCCAATCTCAGCAGCCATCTGTCCGGGGTAAAACACAGATAACTCACCTGTCCACTAGAGGGTCGCCTAAACCTAATTCCTTTTTGACATGTTTTTGAAATATGGAAGGAAACCAGACTTCCTGGAGAAAACATGGAACCTCAAAACTGAATACCATCTGTATGTGCCGAAACTTTGATTTCATCAGTGATGTTCTTGCTGTAAGGCAACTGCCACCGACCACTGTATCACTGTTTTATGTTATATTTACGTATGTACATGAAGATGACATTTATTTTGTTACACTGGTTCTCAAACTATGGCAGGCGTACCACTCGTGGCACTTGGGCTCCCTCTAAGGGTATGTGCGGAATCTGCTTTTTTTTCAGTATTGGCTCTGACAACATGGTGGATTCACATGAGATGAAGGTCGTTTGTGGCTCTGAAGCCAAACTGTGGCGTTAGCTTTGAAATATGAGTAGGCCAATAATGAAGCAATAATTAATTAAAACTGTGCTTCAGTGAATATGGTTATCCTTCACTGCTTAATGTTGGCCATTTCCTTAGAACTTGAAGAGCCAATTTTTTTTAATAAAAAAAAAAACTGAACTATCTAGATTCAGAATCTAACAAAAGCTGAACTCATTATCCGTATCCATTGTATAAAGTCTAGAAAAGGTCCACCAAAAACTTTACAAGGTATTTGGCATCTTCAGAGATATGCCCAGATCGGGTTTTGGCCGATAATCGTACATCTTGCGAAGAGGTCCAATAGATGTCCAGTGTAGTCCTGACCCAGTGGGTGACAGCTTCAGAAAAAGTCAGAGTAAAATTAAGCTCAGCATCTTGAAGCAGCCCAGAAATGTTGGTTGAAGGTGAGTCGCTACAGAAGTCGTCTGGAAGGCAAGCCTGTCCAAGAACATGGCAGCTCCATCGGATGATTCCAAATTGAGGCCCTAAGGTCCCAAAAAGTTTGATCTATAGTGTGAGGGCAGCAGCCAAGAAACTACTTTGTGGAAAGTGGAATGGGGGAAATGATGGCAGTGACACATTGTCCTGACAGGTCGCTGACAGCAGGGGATTTTAAACTACTGCAATACCATCTAAGTCTGTCAAAAAATGTACATTCACATATATTCTATGGTCAACCAACATGTAGCTGCTTTGCACCTGTGTGGGGCAAAGAAGCGTATTTTACAGACGATTTGGTCATTTGTATCTTGTTGGGGTAGAATGTAGTGTAAGAAAAATATTTCCTCAATGAGTAGCAGATTTATTTAATCTGAAAAACTATTATTCATTCAATGCAAATAATTTCTCTTCATTCATCTAAGCGATAGTGACAGGCAGAACAATTAAATACTCTTCCACTAGATGGCGATAGATGGCTATTAAAAACCTAAAAAAACATCCGACTCAGAGCTGTTAAAGGAGAGCCCATGTGTGCCTTTCTTCAATTCCTGTAACTACATCTGTGTTATGTTCAACTAAACGGGTCATGGTTCCACACTGAGTAAGTAAATTGTGAGTAAATTGAAAAGTGGTGGTTTAAGGACAACAATGATAATTTGAGAACCATTCTGATCTGATCAAAATAAAATACTTATTTTTTGGTGTTCTATCTCAAAAGAGTTAGAGCTCGGGTTAACTCTGTTGTAGCAGAATTCTATTATACAAAATAATTCTTTAATAAAACACCCAGGCTAGTGTTGGCCTGAGGCTCTTCTACAGTGCTGTACACACTCACACACAGTGAACACTGGAAAAAAAAGTTCCCCCGTTGTTTTCATCCACACCTACCCTCTCACCGACCTCTCACAGCTAGTCCTCACATCTTGTTAACACCATCAGGATGGAGACACGCTGCCAGAGGTCACTGACAAGCCTCTGTGGCCTTGAGCACTGTCAGTCTGCATGTGTGCTGAAGAACACAACTGACATGCATGTTGTCACACAGACTAAACAAATACAGTAATTAAAGCAGAGATGCTGTGTTAGCCGTAGCAGCAACTGATGGACAAAACAAAATCTGCCTCCCATTAACAATGGTTTAAAAACAGTTTCTGATCTGATATTTAGTCCAGTGGTTCCCAACCTTTGGCTTGTGACCCCGTTTTGACATCACAAATTTCTGGGAACCCCAGAGACATTTTGTTTTTCTAGAATTAGTTTTTGATCATGATTTATTTGTTATTATTTTTATTTGTCATTTTTAATCAATGACAATCACATTTGAATTTCACAGGACCCCAAAGTTGGAAAACACTGATTTAGTCAGTCTTAGATATAATCATTTTTCCTCTCCATGCTGATTGGCCATCTATAATGAGGCCTGTACTGATTACTATTACTCAGCCGTTCCACCTGTTTTCTTACACTGTGAAAAAGGCTAACAACAAACTCTACAGATTAAAAAAATAGATAAAAAATAATATGGACTGAAGAATCTTGAATGATATGGATGACCTTTCAGCATGATAAGATAAAACACTCTGCTTCCACTGTTTGGTCTTGTTGGACCAAGCTGAGCTCACTAACCACTGTTTGGTTTCACCTCCACACCTAAAAGGCACACACAGTTAGTCTACAGTAGAAATCACATTGCTGTTTTGGCCAAAGTCTGTAATGCCTGCTGAGGTTCACCAGTATCAGATGGCACACATCGACTGCAGTTCATTTAAAGGCCAGTGGTGTTGTTAATGACAAGGATTTTCACAAAGTTTCTTGCTGAATCTTTAAGAAAGGTCTTTCGTGAGCGACCTAAAGAAATGTCATTTCATCATCTCGGCTGTTCTCCGCCGCCTCCAACTGTTCAGGGTCTTCCATCTGTGAGTCCTTTTGAGTCCACAGACCGAAGTCACTGCAGAAAATGCGTCCGTGTTTGTCACATCTCCTCCTACAAGGCCTCGGCAAGTCAGTGCTAGCAAATATTTGTTTTTAATATCAACACTGATATTCAGGTCTGATTTTTTTTTCTCCGTAAAAGTGAGTTTACTCAAAAATATAATTTACTTACAGCACAGTCTGCTTCTTTCCATACACATTTCATGTCTCACTGCTCTTCCATTCAATTCTGCATTCATTTTCTGCAGTGATGATGCACTCGTTTTCCTCCTCGGGGTGTTGTGGGTACACTCGCTTACATCCTGTGTGCTTTTGTTACCGTGATAACAACTACAAGCTGTGC